GATTTTAACAGTTCTCATTACAAAAAAGAAATGGCAATTATATGACAAGATAGAGGTATTAGCTAAGCTATATTGGTAATCATTCTGCAATATATGTGTACCAAATCAACACAATACACATCTTAAACTTATATAATGTTATATACCAATTACATATCAATAAAGTTGGAAAAAATAAATGCAAAAATGTGTGATGGCTTATGACAATTAACAAAATACAGTATCTGAATTGAAAAATTCACTGGATGGATTAACAGAAGGTTGAACTCTACAGAAGAAAAGGTCAGTGAATTTGGAGGCATATTAATAGACTATATACAAAATTAAGCATGGAGAGTAACATGACAGAAAATAAATTAATAGGAATATCAGGAATCTATACAGAATAATATTAATCAGTTAACACATATGCAATTATAGTTCTAGGAGAAAGGGGGGAATATTTAAGAAATAATGGCTGAAAAATGTCCAAATTTGATGAAAAACTATAAAACCACAACATGATACCATTACATACCCAGTAAAAAAAATGCTAAAATTAAATAGGCAGACACTATCAAATACTGGAGAAGATATGGATGGCCTGAAATTTCATACATTGTTGGTGGAAATATAAAATACAACAATAGTTTGGAAAACTACTTGGCAGTTTTTTAAATAAAATGAAACATCTTACCATATGACCTAGCAACTCTAATCCTAAATATTTCCCTAACAAATGAAAACAAATGTCCACACAAAGGCTTGAATGCAAAAGTTCATAGCTTTATTTCTCATAGTCCCAAACTGGGAAAAATCCAAATATCCACCACCAAGTGAATGAATAAAGTTGGTGGTATATTCATATAATGATACTACTCTGCAATACAATGGAATGAGCTACTAGCCATAATATGGATGCATCTCATACAACTTGCTGCCCAAAAAGGGCCAGAAACAAAAAGTAAATATTATATAATTATATTAACCTAAAATTCTAAAAAATAATATAATTTATTGTGACAGAAATAGATTATGGTTTGCCTGGAATCAGGATGTAATTGACTGGAATGGGGCATGAGAATTTTGGGGAATAATGAAAATGTGCTGCACTTCAGTTGTGCTGGTGGTTACATGGGCATATAAATTTTTCAAAACTCACTGAAATGTTCACTAAAAATGGTTGTTCATTTAATTTTATGTGAACTATAACTTAATGAAAGTAATTTTTAAAAATTAGTAGCTTTCATATACATCTGAAAAGACTAATTAGAAAACGTTATGACTTTGGGCCAAGATGGAGTCAGAGGTAGATATGCTCTGCCTCTTTGCACAACCAAAAGAAGGACAACAACAAATTTAAAAACAAAAAACAAGCAGACTGCCAGAAAATCAAACTGTATGGAAGCCTGACAACCAAAGTATTAAAGAAGAAACATTCATCCAGACTGGTGGGAGGGATGGAGACAGGCTGCTGGGGTGGAGAGGACGTGCAGCAAGGCAGCATCTGGCAGACCAGGTGGCCCCACGTTGGCGTGTGGATAAACCAGGAGGAACAGCTGGAAAGCGAGACAGACCATGCAATCCAGGGTTCCAGTGCAGGAAAAGGAAGCCTCAAAACCTTTGGCTGTATAAACCTGTGGGGGGTGTGGTAGCAGGAGAAACTCCCAGCCTCACAGGAGTGTTCATTGGTCAGACCCAGAGGATCCTAGAATGTACACAAACCCACCTGGGAATAAGCACAGAAAGGCCCAATTTGCTTGTGGGTAGCAGGGGAAGTGATTGAAAGCCGGCAAGAGCCAAGTAAGCCGCATTGTTCCCTCTCAGACCCCTCCTCCACATAGAGTGTCACAACCCAGCAACCTGGGTTGCCCTTCCCTGGTGAATACCTAAGGCTCCACCCCTTCCAACATAACAGGTGTGCTGAGACAAAGAAATGTGGCCCAAATGAAAGAACAGATCAAAGCTCCAAAAATAGAACTAAGCAATGAACAGATAGCCAACCTATCAGATGCACAGTTCAAAAACACTGGTAATCAGGATGTTCACAAAAATGGTTGAGTATGGTCACAAAATGGAGGAAAAAATGAAGGCTATGCAAAGTGAAGTAAAGAAAAATATACAGGGAACCAACGATAAAGGGAAGAAAACTGGGATTCAAATCAATGATTTGGAACAGAAGAAAAAGATAAACATTCAACCAGAACAGAATGAAGAAACAAGAACTCAAAAAAGTAAGGAGAGCCTTAGGAATCTCTGGGGCAACTTTAAATGTTCCAACATCTGAATCATAGTGGTACCAGAAGGAGAAGAGGAAGAACAAGAGATTGAAAATTTATTTCAACAAATAATGAAAGAGAACTTCCCCAATCTGTCCAAGGAAATAGACTTCCAGGAGACCCAGGAAGCTCAGAGAGTCTACTCAAAGAAGTTGGGCCAAAGGAAGCACGCACCAAAGCATATCATAATTACATTCCCCAAGATCAAAGATAAGGAGAGAATCTTAAAAGCAGCAAGAGAAAAGGAGATGGTTATCTACAGAGGACTTCCCATAAGACTATCAGTTGATTTCTCAAAAGAAACCTTGGAGGCAAGAAGGGGCTGGCAAGGAGTATTCAGAGTGATTAAAAGTGAAGACTTACAACCTAGATTACTCTATCCAGCAAAGCTATCATTTAAAATGGAAGGGCAGATAAAGTGCTTCCCAGATAAGGTGAGGTTATTCATCATCACCAAGCCCTTATTATATGAAATGTTAAAGGGACTTATCTAGGAAAAAGAAGAGGATCAAAAACTACAGAATAGTAAAATGATAACAAACACAACTATCAACAGCTGAACCTAAAAACAAACAAACAAACAGAAAACCAAACTGAGCAAACAACTAGAACAGGAACAGAATCACAGAAATGGAGATCAGAAAGGAGGGGGTAAGGGGAGTATGGTACAGGGAATAAGGTACGGGGAATAAGAAGTAATAATAGTAGGTACAAAATAGATGAGGGGGGGCTGGCTAAGAATAGTATAGGAAATGGAGAAGCCAAAGAACTTATGTGTATGACCCATGGACATGAACTAGGGGGCAGGAAATGCTGGTGGGATGGGGTGCGGGTGCAGGGTCCAGAGGGGAATAAAGGGGAGAAGAAAAGTGAGACAAGTGTAATAGCATAATCAATAAAATATATATTAAAAAATAAAGATTTCATAGCAGAAAAAAATAAAATGTTATGAAAAATTCCATCTAAACAATAAAAAACACAAAATATCAACCAACAAAACTATGAAATAGTCTAGTCTTTTATAAAAATTAAAACACAATAGTAGTTAAGATAACACATGAATAATTAGAAAAATGTTTCACATTTGTGTATAAAACCTTTAACATTATAAATATGTCATTTATCCCTCCAATTAACTTACTAATTCAGTTCTATGCCAATTAAAGTCCTCTCAGGATTTTTCATTTGGGAGAGTTTAGGATGAAAAACCAAGTCAATGTAAAAAATCCATTGTTTTTGTGAAGATAAAATGATTAAAACTGCATAATAGTGACACGAAAATAGACAAAATAAATTGGAAGAAAAGAGAATACAAAGTGTAGAAACAAATTTGTGGATTTATTACATGATAAAATTGACATTTGAAATCAGTTTGGGAAGGAAGAACTTTTCTATAAACAGTGCTGAGACTATTACCTATTCATGTGGAAAAGGATGTAGCTGGATAACCATACATACTAAAGTCTAGCTGTTTTAAAGAATTTAAAAATTGAACTTAATAAGAATAAAATACAGACAAATATATTCATGACTATGGGGTAAAAAGGACCTTTTGAATGACTCATGTAAAGTATTTAACATAAAGAGAAATATTGTTAAATTTGATTACATTAAAAACTTTTTATATATCAAAAGCAATAATATTCTGACTCCCCTGCCCACTTTTTTTTGATTTTCAAGGTCAAGTGAATGACATTATGTATCAAACATTTTATGTGTTAGAAATAATATTTTTTTAGATTAAAAAAGTCACCATAAGCAAAGTTAAATACCTAGTGGTGCACTGGGACAAGATATTTGCAATACCTATAACAGACAAAGATTCAATATAATGAATAAGAAAGAAAAATAACAACAGAAAAATGGATAAAGGATATGAAAGGTTAGTCACAGATAGGAGATATGATTTACATAAAAATATACAAAATCATACTCCTTTCCCTATGGAGATTTAGAAGCCTGGAATGTTATTTCTAAAGGTCTAGAATGATATAAAACTCACAAGAGTTGTCATTTTGGGTAAGGATATGGGCAATAGGATTTAGAGGCATGGCCAAAAGTCTTTTTACATTTATTTGTAAAGTTCTAATTTTTCAAAAGGCACATACATTTGGGTATTTTATAATAAAATTTAATTTAAAAAATTCATTAAATTTGGCAGTAAGTATAATATAATAGATGAACTTTGCTACAAATTTCATTGAAATGAGTATGTAGAAGCAAAAGTTAAATGGATGGGAAAATGTAGAGGCGCTTCGGTTACCAAGATAGGGATTGTATACCAATCGGAAGGACTTGGATATGAAGGGAAATGGACGGTGGAAAGTGATAGATGGGACATTGGATGTAGAGAAAGGTATTCATTTGCTTATTTTTTGGTGATAAGATCTACATCTATTCAAAATCTCACGTATATGTATACATAGTACATAAATGTATTGTTTAAGGGAGAAACCATTAGATAGATTAAAAATATAGACAGATTACAATATAGGAGAGAGTGAATAAGATGAAGAAGTGAATTATCTTGGCATTAAACATTTAGGGACTATGCATGTTTGTCAAAGATATAGTAGATTTAGAATATAACTCCGTTTTTGACCAACTGATTTCCAAGGTTTCTACCACTGTGAAAATAATTTTAATGAAAAGTTTGTCTATTCAGTATTCTGAATCTATCAGTGATTTTAAGCCAAGCACCCTTGACTTAATATTTTCACAGGGAAAATGAGGAAAAGTTACCCTAACAGAAATCCCCATTGCCAGGGAAAATTCATAAGGAAGTGGGAAATAACAGCAGCTGAGCATGCTTCCATGAGGCATGGACCCACAGACAATCTTAAACAAACTTTCTTCAAACGATTCAAAACCTGAAATACAAACATAGTCATAACAAAATTATAATGGCCAGCAAGAAAATTAAGCAAATATTAAAATATACAGTTTACTAAACTAAAGCTTACTTATTATTTCACTTGGATTGAAATGCTAATACAGATCATTTAGATGTCATCATAGATTGGATTATAAACTGTTGCATATTTTAGAAAACATTATTGTATTTTAATTGTTAAAAAATTCATTTCTTTGTGATTTTAAATAGCTACTTCTGCCTTCTTTGATCTTCCTAGTAAATAGCATAATGGAAGTATAGGTCTATATCCATCAGTTAACTTTTAGAGATGTACTGTTTGATTAACTTAATCATAAATAGAAAATATCAACATGAGAAAAGAGAAAGTCACTTAAAAATTATGTAATTAACTAAAAGGGAGAACTTTAAAATTTTCTCATTGGTTCAAATTTTCTACTTGAGAATATAATAAATTATCACTGTCTAAAATTATTCATGCTACTGAGATATTATACCATCATTTGCCACATCTATTTGAGAAGCTGTTATGTGACTCTTTTAAAAATCCAAATAGATTTATGAGCCCTAGATAGTAATACTTTAGGAAATATTAAATATTAGCTTTTATGCTAATGCAAAGATAATCAGAAACATACTTTTGCAGGAAAAAAAATTGTAAAACAAAAAAATTATTGAAATTCTCAATTTCTCTGAAAACAATACAAAATAAAACAAAACAAAATAAACAAAACAAAACAAAAGCAAAATCCTTTTATGAGGTGACCTTATCTTTTGTTATCTGAAAAGCAAATAGTTCTCCATAGAAGAGCCACAGCTCCCAAATAACATGTACAAATGCTGCATAAGGGACATCGATCTCTATGCAAACAATTAAAGGTCATTTTAATGGAGATCTTCTATCCTAGTGATTTCTCGTCATGTCAGTAATAATGAAGACAAGAAGTAGAAATTAAGGTATCAATACTTCTGCAAATTTTTGTTCTTTATTTTAGTTTTGTTTACAGACTGCACTTGAAACAGCTACAACAAAAATTCTTCCTCTTTTTCATTTTACCAGCTTCTAACATTTAAAGTAACTTTACTCATTGTATAATTAGAAATCTACCTGTGGATCGAGTCCAAGTCCAGCTTTCATTAGGATAAGAGTAAGGGCAGTGTTTCTTAAAGTTGAAGACCACTCGTTACTAATATGGACAAACTCACTGAGTAATGGAACATTTCTGATGGTAAAACCAGCCAGTAACATCCCTTCAAAAATAAAAGAAAGAAAAAAAGAAAGGAAGGAAGGAAGGGAGAGAGGGAGGGAGGGAGGAAGGAAGGAAAGAAGGAAGGAAGAAGGTCTGATTTCGTTCCTTTTATTCCAAGAGAGAAAACAGAAATATTTAATTTCCTCTCTTCAAACACACTATATCTTTCATTACTTTCGTGAAGAGCAAGTTACACACATAAGCAGAGGAGAGAACATAAAGAAATGGAGGTAAAAAATGATATATCTCAATGGGGTACAACTAGCAATCCAGTATTGCTGAAACATAAAGGGCAAGGATGGGAGTAGGAAAATGGGCAGGAGGCATCAGATTGTGAATAGCCAAACCCAGTCCACACTGTCACCTGCTTTAGCAGAATAAGGCATGATGGGAAAATTTTAAGCAGGAAGTCAGATAATGAATCTCGCATTTTTTATGTTATGACTTTGGTGAATTAGATAGATATAAAATTGGAGGAGAGGCCAATTAAAAGCCTCTGCCATAGTCCATGGTATAGCTAGAAACAAATAACTTAAGCTAGGGCAAGAGTAAAAGTTTAGAAGAGGAGGGAAAGAGATTCAATGACTACTTAAAAGGTGCTGAAAGAGTGTTATGGACATAGAAAGGGTGTTAGAGGTAAAATGGAGAGGTTATTTTTATTGACATTCTACAGAATATTTGTATATATTGAATATGTAGAAGATATGAGACACCTCTGACAGAACTTCTTCCATTTACTTTCCTCTGTCCACCTGGAGAGTTATGTAATAAAGTGATGAAGAAATAGGGCATAACACTGGTGAGGCAAACAATGTATCTGCAATGTATGTGCAATGAATGCATACAGTGAAGATGCCCAAACAGCTTGCTCAAGAACCATGAGACTTTTTGGTGCCTCAGGTAGTATAATATTTGAATCTTGTAATTGTATTTGAGTTAAGTTATCTACAGAAAAATTCAGTCTTTTCCAAAATTTTCTTTTTGTATAATACATTTAAAATTAATTAAAAACTCCTTTTAAATGATAAAGAAACAAGAATCATACACTGAGTATATTTAAATCATATACTGAGTATATATCTCTCTCTGGATATATATGTAGAGAGAACAAATACTTCTATAAATGAGCTATATATGTACATATATAGTACATACACACATAAAGAATCTATATAAATGATATTACATTAAAACATTTCTAAATTGTATTTACTCTGACTAGAATACATTCATAATTTACATATAAGTCAATAAGAAAGAAATGAGAACTAATTATATCCTTACCAAGAAGAGGTGGAAGTTGAGGCACTGATGGTATTCTAATGAGTTCCAAAAGTTTGCCCCCCATTATGGAACTATAAAGGACAATTAATAGTCCAAATAACTTTCCGTCAAAGAAAATCCGAGGACCTGAGATGGACCAGATTGCACACCATATCATAACATGTAAAGCTCCTGAAATATAAAATAAATCTATATATATATATATACACAGACATAGATATACACATTTAAATAATGAATTCTAGTCTATCAAATATCATATAAATAGCCAGTCTTATCTAATGATACATCGTGTGGACTGCTGATTTTCAACTAGTGTGCCACAAGAATTTTTAAAACCTGCAATATTGGACTACTGAGTCAGGGGCACTGACCTCTTTACCCTTAGACTGTCAAAGTAAAAAAAAGTCAACAGCCAAGCCAACAATAGCCATTCAGTGTGAATGCCTTGCCTTGAACCATAAATATATAGGTCACGTAAAAGATTTGCATCTTATTGGTCACGTCACATAATAATGTTGCATAATATTGGTTAATTCTTGGTAACAGACATTCTTACATACAAGTATAGGCACCCTATTTTTTTTTAAAAAAGTTACTTTGAAGTGAAAAGGGTAGGTAATAACTATTATATTTATTTTTTGTAAATCAAATAAAATTATACCTATTTTTTTGTCAGACTGGCCAAAAAAAATTTTTTTGGTGTGCCAGAGGATTTTAGTATTGTTTAATGTGTGCCATGAGATGAAAAAGGTTAAAAATCACTGGCATAGACTAATGCTGCTTGCTAGTTTGGTTGAAGAAATATCTGTTTAACATATATTCCAAAAATCTCTTTCAATTTACGAAACAAGTTCAAACAGAATTTTTCATTTAAAAGTATTTTAAAACTATATGTGAATCCTTTAAAGTTCTAAATATTTTTCATAATATATGACATTTTAAAAATGTTATGGCAATATGAGATTTACTTCATTCTCTATTTTAAAGTAGTTTTTCCATCAGGAATAAGGTGATGATTGGTTGTGATAAGTTCTCAAATTTATCGAATATCACAGTGTCAGGGTGTCAGATTTCTTAACAGGGGCAGAATAAGCCTTTGTATTGAAATAATAACTCAGCTGATATTTGGCATAAATTATTAAAGGAGGAAAGGGCTGGAAAAAGTGAAACCCAACTTCGGGGAGAACATAAAGTGTCTCAGTTATGTGTAGGAAGCACAGGTGGACAGGTAAAGATAAGGTAGGAGACATCTTATTTCTGGCAACTAGGTACTAAGGAAAGGCCCTACTAACAGAGGAATCCATAGGTTTTTTTTTTAAAATCTAACATAAGTACTTTATTTTTTATTGAATCTATAGGGGTGGCATTACTTAATAAAATTATATAGGTTTCAGGTGTACACTTCTATAATACATCATTTGTATAGTATATTGTGTGTTCACTGCCCCAAGTCAAGTCTCCTTTCATCACCATCCATCTTCTCATTACTCCCCCTCCTTTGTTTTACCTCCCCCTCCTGCCTTTCCTTCTAGTAATAATCATACTGTTGTCTGTGTCTATGAGTTCGGGGTTTTTTAATTTTTTTGCTTAATCTTTTCACCTTTTTCACCCAGTCCCCAAACCGCTCCCCCCTCTGACAGCTGTCAGAGTCTGTTATCTGTATCTATGAGTCTGTTTGTTTTGTTTGTTAGTTTTTGTTGATTAGATTCCACATATAAGTGAAATTATATGGTATTTATCTTTATATGACTGGCTTATTTTACTTAGTATAGTACTAACCAGGTCCATCCATGCTGTCACAAAAGGTAAGATTTCCTTCTTTCTAAACAGCTGAATAGTATTCAATTGTGTACATGTATCACAGCTCTTTGATCCGCTCATCTACTGATGGGCACTTGGGCTGCTTCCAAATCTTGGCTATTGTAATAATGCTGCAGTGAACATAGGGCTACATATATGTATATTCATTTGTATTAGTGTTTCTGGTTTCTTCATATATATTCCCAGAAGTAGAATCACTGGGTGATAAGGCATTTCCATTTGTAATTTTTTGAAGTACCTCCATACTGTTTTCCACAGTGGTTGCACCAATTTGTATTCCCACCAACAGTGCATAAGGGCTCCCTTTTCTTCACATCCTCGCCAACACTTGCTGTTTGTCAATTTATTGATGCTAGCCATTCTGACAAGTGTGAGGTGATATCTCATTGTGGTTTTACTTTGCATTTCTTTGATGATTAGTGACAGATATTTATAAAGGATGGATGGTTACACTGTAAATTGCCATCTGTAAATTAAATGGCTACATTCATTTATTATAAATAATAATTTTGAATGCTTTTTCAGGTTCTTAAAACAGCTTAAGTGCATTCTTTATCTGTGACTCCTTTTTGATCCAGCAATTTATATAAAAAAAGAAAGAAAACACTAACTCAAAAAGATACATGCACCTCCATCTTCATTGCAGCATTACTTGCAATAGCCAAGATATGGAAATGACCTAAGTACCTATCAATGAATAAAAGAATACAGAAAATATGTGTATATGTAAAATGGAATATTATTCAGTCATAAAAAAGAAGAAAAGTTTGCCATTTGTGACAAGATGGATGGACTTTGAGGCATTATGCTAAGTGAAAGTCAGAGAAAGACAAATACCGTATGTCCTCATATGTGACATATAAAGAACAAAACTGAGCCCATAGTACAGAGAACAAATTGCTGGTTGCCAGAGGCATGAGATGTGTGGTGGGTGAAGGGAGTCAAAAGGTACATACTTCCAGTTATAAAAAGTAAATAAGTCATGGGGATTAATGTACAGCATAGTGACTATAGTTAACAATACTCTATAGCATATTTGAAAATTGCCAAGTAGATCTTAAAAGTTCTCATTACCAAAAGGTTTGTAACTATGTATGGTGACATATGTTAATTACACTTACTGTGGTGACCATTTTGCCATATGGGGTGGAACTAAAGTAGGTTTACAGTTCACGTTACAAACAACTGTAAACCTACTTTTGCTCCACTTGTACATACAATGATCTAATCATTATGTTATGCCCATGAAACTAATGTATTATGTCAATTATACCTCAATATAAAGTTTTTAAAAGTAAAAGCCAAATTAAGATATTTTCACACAAAGACAAATTGAGAGAATTAATTGTTAAAAGACCTATTCTACAAAAAACACTAAAAGGAGTTTGTAGGCTAAAAGGGAAAGAATTCCACATGGAAGCCTCATAACCAGAAAGCAATGGAGAGAATCCAAGAATGTAAAAATTTAGAGAATTATAAGAAACTTTTTAGTAACTAAAAAAGTTCTTAGCTTTTAAAAGCAAAAAAAATAAGAATATAGAAGTAAAATATATGATCTAGCACAATGCGAAGATGAGGGATAAAGTCATATTGTTGCAAGGCTCTGCTGTAATAGCTTTTTAAAATTATATTTTGTTTATGCTATTATAGTTGTCCCAGTTTTTCCCCCTTTGCCTCACTCTCCCCAGCTCCCTGAATACCTCAGGCAATTGCCACACCATTTTCCATGTCCATGAGTCATGCATAGAGAGCAGTCTTTGGCTATTCTATTCCCTATGCTGTATTTTATATCCCCATTGGTATTCTCTACCTACGAATTTCGACTTCTTATTAAAAAAAAAAAAAGACTTTTATTGTTGTTCAATTACAGTTGTCCCCATTTCCCTCCCATAGCTCTCCCCTGCCCTGCCCATCCCCCTCCAACATTCAGTCCTCCCCCGACATTGCCTTCGTCCATGGGTCGAAGGGAACATTTATATACATGTTCCTTGACTGGACCCTTCCCCTTTTTTCCCTCATTATCTTCCTCTCCCCTTCCCCATGGTCACTGTCAGTTTGTTCTTTATTTCCATGTTCCTGGTTCTATTTTGCTCACTTGTTAGTTTTGTTGATTAAGTTCCAACTATACATACATGCATACATACATTACATACATAACTAGACATTTTATTTTATGGGGTACCAAAGTAAACTATATTTTTTAATTTCAAGCTCTATTTGTTCATAGTTGGTACAAGAAAAAAACAATTGACATGTACACATTAACTGTGTATCCTACAACCTTGTTATACAGGCATGCCTCATTTTATTGTGCTTTGCTCTATTACACTTTGTAGGTATTGCATTTTTTACAAATGGAATGTTTGTGGCAACCCTGTGTGGAGCAAATCTATTAGTGCCTTTCTCCCAACAGTTTTCTTCATATTTCTGTCACATTTTTATAATTCTCAAAATATTTCAAACTTTTCTATTATTTTTATATATGTTATGGTGATCTGTGATCAATAATGTTACCATTGTAATTATTTTGGGACACCATGAACTGCGCTCATGTAAGTCAGCAAACTTAATTGATAAATATTGTGTGTGTTCTGACTGCTCCCCTGACAAGCCATTCCTCCCATCTTTCTACTGCTCCTCAGGCCTCCCTATGCCTTGAGACACATCAGTATTGAAATTAGGCCAGTTAATAATCCTGCAAGGTTAATAACCCTGTCCTTTAAGTGCTCAAGTGAAGAAAGAGTCAGTCACACATCACTCATTTTAAATAAAAAACTAGAAATGATTAAGCTTAGTGAGTAAGGCATGTAGGAAGCTGAGAGAGGCTGAAGCTAGGCCTCTTGCACCAAACAATTAACCAAGTTGTGAATGCAAAGAAAAAGTTTTGATGGAAGTTAGAAAGAGCTACTGCAGTGAACACACAAACGGTAAGAAAGTAAAACAGCCTTACTGCTGAGATGGAGAAAGTTTTAGTGCTCGGGATAAAAGATCAAACCAGCCACAGCATTCCCTTAAGCCAAAGTCTAATGCAGAGCAAGCTTCTAATTCTCTTCAGTTCTATAAAAGCCAAGAGAGGTGAACATGCTGCAGAAGAAAAGTTTGAAGCTAACTACTGTCCATTCATGTGGTCTAAGGGAAGAATTCATCTTCATAACATAAAAGTACAAGATGAGGCAGTAAGTACTAATGTAGAAGCTGCAGCAAGTTATCCTGAAGATCTGGCTAAGATAATGAAGGTGGCCACACTAAACGACAGATTTTCAATGTAGATGAAATAGCCTTATAATCAAAGAAGATTCCCTCTAAGACTTCCATAGATAGGGAAGAGAATGCCTGGCTCCAAAGCTTCAAGGGTAGGCTGACTGTCTTGTTCAGGGCTAACACAGCTGATGACTTTAAGTTGAAGCCAATGCTCACTTTTCATTCCAAAAAACTTATGCCCTTCAGGAATTATGCTAAATCTACTTCTGCCTGTGCTCTATAAATGAAACAAAGGCAGAATGATAGCATATATCTTTACAACATACTTTATTGAATATTTAATCCCACCATTGAGACCTACTGCTGAGAAACGAGCTTCCTTTAAAAATATTACTGCTCATTGACAATGCACCTGGTTACTACCCAAGAGCATGCTGGAGATATACAATAAGATTAATGTTGTTTTAATGCCTGCTAACAGAACAACCCATTCTGTGGCCAATTGATCACGAAGTAATTTCTACTTTCAAGTCTTATTATCAAGAAATACATTTCATAATGCTATATAGTTTCCACAGATATTAATTCCTTTAATGGATCTGGGCAAAGTAAATTGAAAACCTGGAAAGGATTCACTCTTCTAGATGTTATTAAGCATATTTGTGATTCATGAGAAAAGGTCAAATTATCCATATGAATAGGAGTTTGGAAGAAGTTAATTCCAATCCTCATGGATGACTTCAATAGGTTAAAGACTTCAGTGAAGGAAGTAGCAGCAGATGTGGTAGAAATAGCAAGAGAATTAGAATTAGTAGACGTGAACCTAAAAATGTGACTGAATTGCTACAATCTCATGTTAAAACTTTAATGGATGAAAGGTTGCTTCTTATGAATGAGCAAGGAAAGTGGTTTTTTTGAGATGGAAGCTACTCCTGGCAAAGATGCAATGAAGATTGTTAAAATGACAACAAAGGATATCACACATGCTTAGCTGACAAAGCAGTGGCAGAGTTTGACAGGACTGACTCCAATTTTGAAAGAAGTTCTACTGCCGGTAATATTCTATCAAACAGCATCACATCCAACAGACAGAGAAATGGTTTGTGAAAGGAAGAGTCTGGGGTGGTGAACACAGAATACAGTGTACAGATGATGTGTTGTAGAATTGTGCACCTGAAATCTGTTTAATTTTGTTAACCAGTGCCAATAAATTCAATAAAAAGGGAAAAAAAGGATCACTTGTGATAAATGTGGTAAACTTCATTGTTATTTTAAGAAATTGCCACAGCCATACCAACCTTCAGCAACCACCACCCTGATAAGTCAGTCAAAAGCCACCAAAATCAAGGCAAGATCCTCCATCAGCAAAAAGATCACGACTTGCTAAAGGCTCAGATGATGATTAGCATTTGTCAGCAATAAAGTATTTTTAAATCAAGGTATTTACATTGATTTTTAAAAAACATAAGACTATTGCACACTCAATGGACCACACAGTGTAATGTAAACATAACTGCCATGTGCACTGAGAAACCCAAAAACTCATGGGACTCTATTATATATGCTTTATTGCAGCGGTCTGGAACTGAACCTGCAATATCTCAGAGTTATGACTGTACTGGTTTATTAGCTGACCCAGAAGTATTTTTCTCCTTGATTCTTAGGATTTCGTACATAGGCAATCATGTTATCTGCATACAAAGGCACTTTTATTTCTTCCTTTCCAATCTGTATTCCTTTTATTTTTTTCTTTTTTCAATGTATTAAGTA